CTCTCTGGTCACGCAATCACAGACATGAAGGTCGCTATCTTAAAACAAAAAACTTCAAATCCAGACTCCAGCGAGAAACTGCTGAATTGGAATTCATTTGCAAATTGGATACTATTAATTTAGGCTTAAATAGAGACTGGGAGTGGCTAAGTCATTATGCAAGGTAGCCTGTTTCCTCTTGTTTTTTCCTCCCCCCCCCCCCCCCCCCACCCCAAACCCCCCCCCCCCCCCCAGATATTCTGGTTTAACTTGGATTTAAACTTGGAGAGTGGTCAGTTTAGATGAGCTATTACCAGCAGGAGAGTGAGTTTGTGTGTGTTTGGGGGTGGGGGAAGTGAGAAAACCTGGATCTATGCAGGAAATAGCCCGACTTGATTATGTAAAGAGTTGTCACTTTGGATGGGCTAGCACCAGCAGGAGAGTGAATTTGTGTGGGGGGGTGGAGGGTGAGAAAACCTGGATTTGTGCTGGAAATGGCCCACCTGCTGATCACTTTAGATAAGCTATTACCAGCAGGACAGTGGGGTGGGAGGAGGTATTGTTTCATATTCTCTGTGTGTATATAAAGTCTGCTGCAGTTTCCACGGTACACATCTGATGAAGTGAGCTGTGGCTCACGAAAGCTCATGCTCAAATAAATTGGTTAGTCTCTAAGGTGCCACAAGTACTCCTTTTCTTTTTGCGAATACAGACTAACACGGCTGTTCCTCTGAAACCTGTCATACTATAAAATGCTAATCTTGGTGCAAAAATATTCTTCTACGTATGTGTGTACATAGACTATTTATATATAGTGTATATCTAAATGCTGCCCTGCCTTATTGACTTTTGGAGTAGGACTAGCATTAAATGTAGAGTATGGCTATTCAGAATAGCCAAATTACTTACAAGCGGCAAAGCCATGACTTATGGAGATTATCCCAAAAGAAACATTTTTGTGGGAGGTTACAACTGTTTTGAGTAAGTCCCAAGGAGGATAGAATACTAAGCAGAGTGCAGCTTAAGTGGTCAAAAGTGCATGAAAAATACAATTTATCACATGGATATCACCACCAGATGTGCAATATTATGGAGCAGCTGTAGCTACTCCGAAGTTGCAACTAGCTTCCTCTGTAAAGACTTGATTTCCAACCCAAAATTATATGGGCTGGAAAACTAGAATTGTCAAGTTTGCTCTGAAGGCAAAGGAGAATATTTTGGTTTGGTTTGGTTTGTACAAAGGTTGAAGAAAACTGAAATTATATTTAAGCTAGACGGAGACAAAAACAATAGAAAAAACACCATCTCAAATCAGGACAGTGGTTTTTTTAATGACCTGTAACTCAAACACAGCTTGTTACTCCCCCTTCAAACTCTTCATGTGATTAAATCTACTTAGAAATGCATACACCAATTTAAGTTAATGTATTGTAAAACTAAACAAAGTTGTTATTAACAGTTCCATTCCTAGTAGTTTGTGATCATTCCTGTTCCTAATAGAAGTCAATGAGGATTTTTTGTCATGAGCTAAATAGGAACAGAATTAAGCACTACAGAAGTGACTTTTCCGGGGTACTGAGCATTGACATCAATGAGCACTGTGGATGCTCAGCACTTCTGAACATCAGGTCCCATAGCTGAGAATGATAACGATTAGAACAAACTTCTAAGACATGATGGATTTTTCCATCTCTTCATGTTTTCCGATCAAGACTGGATGCCTTCCAGGAAAATATGCTTTAGTCAAACACAAGTTATTAGGCTCAGTACTGGTGTAACTTGGTGAAATTTAATGTCTTGTAATACAGATCAGACTAGGCAACCTAAGGGTATATTCTGGCTTAATCACTGTGAATTTATAAATAGTTGAGATATGAAACTGGGTGCAGATCCCCAAAAGCATTGACTTCCATAGAAGTTAGGCTCTTAAAAACCTTTGAGAAGCTGGGTTGTGGTCCTTTTACAAGGCTAATTTTGATCCATCTTGTGACACAAAACTAAATAGTAAAACACAACATAAGGGAAAGCTTCATGGTTTCAAATTTTGAGAGTTAAGTATCATTGACAACATGAACTTGTTATGAAAATATTAATAGATCTTACTGCGTGATACAGAAAACATCATATCGCTCTCCTGAAATATTTGTAAAATATGTAATGATTCTTTATATATCTCTTTTATCCACTGATTGCGCTGCACCCCAAAATGTGAAACTGCAGTAGATTTTTACAGTGGCAAGGGCAGTAATAGTCAAATCTTTACTATTTGAAAAATAAATGCAATTCTGTCAATAAAGACGGGGGGGGTGGGGCATGACAATGGAGCAGGGGTATGCAAACTTTTTGGCCCACAGCAGGGTGAGAAACTATATGGAGGGCTAGGTAGGGAAGGCTGTACCTCCCCAAACAGCCTGGCCCCCACCCCCTGACTGCCCCCCGACCCATCCAACCCCCCCCACTCCTTGTCCCCTGACCGCCCCCTCCCAGGACCCCCCCGCCCCAAACCGTCCCAACCCTATCCAACCCCCTCCGCTCCCTGTCCCCTGACTGCTCCCCCAACCCTTATCCACACCCCTGCCCCCTGACAGGACCCCCCGGGAATCCCTTGCCCTATCCAACCCCCCCTGCTCCCTATTCCAACTGCCCCAACCCCTATCCACACTCCCGCCCCTAACTGCCCCCCAGGACCTCACCTCCTATCCAACCCCCCCTGTTCCCCATCCCCTGACCCTTCCCCCCCGCCCGAGAACCTCCACCCCATCCAACCGCCCCCTGCTCCCTGTCCCCTGACTGCCTCCTGGGACTCCCTATCCCTTATCCAACCCCCTGCCACCGCCAGCCCCTCCTTACCATGTTGCTCAGAGCAGCAGGAGCTCACAGCCCCGCTGCCCATGCGGCAGGGAAAAAGGGAAAGCAGGGGAGGGGCTCGGAGCTAGCCTCCTGGGCCAGGAGCTCAGTGGCTGGGCAGGATGGTCCCGCGGGCCAGATGTGGCCTGCAGGCCGTAGTTTGCCCACCTCTGCAATAGAGAATACTTGTCAACAGCCTACAACATGGCCCAAACTACTCTTTAAAATGAAAATAAAATCCTCTATCGATTGAAAAAAGTTCCTGTATTCTTTTTGGCATGGGTAACTGAGACACAGGGCTGCATTGCCTTTCCTGTGTGGTGTAAAGTGGGTGTAAAACACTCCCAAAAAGCAACAGTAGCATTTACACCCACTTAGCATTGGTATAAATGATGATACACAGTGCAAGGCGACGGAGAATCATGCCTACATTTTCAAAATGACTTGTCAAAGTCCACAGAGGAAGTTTGTGGTACAGCCAGGGAAAGAACCTCAGGAGGACAGATTTAGGCATAGCCCTCAGTACGACAGGTAGCCAGGTCAGGACCCTGGCCTCCAGTGGTCTCTGGTGCAGGCAGAAGCACACCCACTACTTTACCATCAAGTGAGGCATATTCTGCCTGCGATTCTCATCATGGTACGTGGGCTGATGTGCATAGAGGGCCAACTCAGGGCGCTGCAGCCCCCTGCCCACTATCTCCTTTAGGTCACCATGCCTCTTCCAGGCCAGACCTGCACGCACCCAGGGTCTTTTTCCACTGCCTGGGCCAGTCAAAGCCATGCTGATCCCCTGCCCCCACTGGGATGTGCTGGGAGGCGGTTGCAATGGGGTCACGTGACCCGGCATGCTGCCTGCCTGTGCCAGCAGCCTGTCCCCCAGCTGAAGCCAAGGGGGTGCAAGGTCTAGTCTTGCTCCCAGGCGCTCTCTCCACCCCGCTCCGCCTTGCCCTGCCCACCCAGTGCCGGTCACAGCCAGGCCAGGAGCCCCCCCAAAGAGCCTCTTCCACCCAGCCCAACACCTCGGGGCCTTTCTGCCTCAGAGGGAAACACTTCCCACGCCGGAAGTGACATCATCCTAAACCTCAACCTCCGTCCCAAGCAGCTGGCACAGGCTGGCACCATGCCAGGTCACGTGACCCCATGCGACCCGCCTCCCAGCACTTCCGTCAACGCAGAGCGGGAGCGAGTGACAGGCGGGACGCGCCAATCAAAGCCTGCGAGGCCGCTGAACTTGAAGGTGGGAGCGTCTGGGTGGTGCGCTGGGGGAGCAACGGCAGCCGGCGCGGGGACTCCTGGGGGGCGCGCGGCCGGAGCCTTCAAATGTGCGTAACGGGGGAGGTGTCCTGGCTGGGCTGCCGCGAGGGAGGAACCCTTCCCCCCCTTTGGGGGGCACTGGCCTCGCGGGGAGCGCTGACGGTTAAACTGCCCGCCAGCGCTCTGCGCGCCCTGGGGCCGGCGGGGCTGTTAGCGGGGCCGCGGCGATGCGCCGCCCCGCCCCGCCCAGCACGTCTAGCCGGCGGCATCTCCCTGCCGCGCCGGCCGGGGCGCGGTATTGGAGGCCGCAGGCTGGGCTGGCCTGGCCCCGCCGCCACCTTCCCGCCTGGCTCTCGTCACCGCGGGGGTGGGGTCTGGGAGGGTGTCACGGAAGGCGCGGCCGCCCGGTCTTGGCGTCCGAGCTGCACTCGTCCCCTCGTGACGGCCCTGGGACGGGCAGAGGCGACTGGCCTCGCCTCGGCGCCGCTGCGGCTGGGGCGGGTCCGGCGGCCTGAGCGCGGGGAGCGCTCTCGCCGCGCAGTAGCCGCGGGGCGGGACAGGCGGAGGGGGGACGGTGCTTCCCGCGGTGTATCGGCCGAGGGTGGGCTCAGCGCCCCCATTGCAAAAGCGCTCACCCCAGGGACCGTGCAGTTCCTTGCAGTCCCCGCATCACAGGGCTCCTCTGCTCCGCTGCCTTCTGCCGTGGCCTGGGTTCTTCAGGACTGAATGGCCCTTGCCCTGTTTCACCCCCAGGCAGGGGTCTGAGGAGCTGGAGAGTTGAGAATTTGAAATTAACGAAACTCCCAGACAAAAAGTGACTGTGATGGGTATAATGCAGGGATATCACCATAAGGTTTTCTGAAAGACTGGTCCTACAGACGCCAGAGTTTGCACATCTGCCCTGTGAGAGAAAGGTTTCAGAGTAACAGCCGTGTTAGTCTGTATCCGCAAAAAGAAAAGGAGGCCTTGTGGCACCTTAGAGACTAACCAATTTATTTGAGCGTAAGCTTTCCTGAGCTACAGCTCACTTCATCGGATGCATCATAAGAGTAAAGCATTCTAGTGCTTTGGTTACCAAGGAGATGAGACTTTTTGTTATGGATGGATACCTTTCTCTTGTAGTATTTTCCTGTTACATTCTTTCTACACATGCCCTTCCTCTGAACATCACTAAGGGGCAGAGTTAAGGTTGATTAAACACCTAATTGTACGTTTAAATGTAAAATTTAAATTAAAACTTTCAGATTATGGGATTTTTTCTCACTTTTATTTTCTCTGTTTCTAATGCCTGGTGTGTGGGTTGTCTGGCGGGGGGGGGAGGTGTATAATTTTTGATAACAATAACATTTTTGTAAGGTATGTCTTACCATGAAATTATTGATGTGAACTCTCGGCCCTTTTGTCTGAGAGCTTCTCCAAGCAATATACCATTAATCATAGGTTTATTAGGTTAATAATGCATACTCTCATACTGTTTTGAATATCTTGGCATCATAGCTACTCTGGTTTTTTGGTAAATATAGTTTGTTTTTTATTATTGCGGTAGCTTTTCAATGGAAACAAAACCAGTTATCAGAAGATATGAAACAAGGAGGAACACAAGAATAGAAGAACCAGCATCCAAATCTCGGGTTGATTGGAGGCGGACTAAAAGAGAGACCATATTGCTTGATAGTGATGATGAACTCACATCTGCTTCAGAAGACGAACGACTCTCATCTACATCAGAAGATGAAGTGGCTGAAAAACAAGAAACTGTAGTTAAGGGGTATAATCTTTCAGATCATGAGGAGAAAAGCCATGATGACACAGTCGTAGAGGATGTGGAGGATGAATGCATCACTCCAGGAAAGCGTAAGAGGTCGAGCACATCTGTGATGTATGACAGTGACAGGAGTGATGACAGTGACATCCCTGTTAGAAAAGTATTTGCTAAACGTTATTGCATAATGGATGAAGATGAGTGTTCTCAAGAACAGGAACATCATAAAACCGCTACCACAGAAGAAGACTTGACTAATGGGAAGCAGAAGCGACTAATGAAACTGAAAGAACTCGCAAGACAAAGATCTACCCGGGCATCCAGTAATAGCAAATATTGTGGGGTATGTTTTTACCTCTGAAATTAAATACTTTGTTTTTTCATACATATCACCTCACAGAATTTTACTCTCAAGATAGGTTGGGAGCTCCCCAAAAGTTGCAAGAGCTTCATCCCCTACACTTTCAAGGGACTCATGTTACAACTGTGCAGTAGTACTGTCTCTGATGCCTTTAGTTTTGGTTTCTTTTTTTATTGCCAAGGGCTGAAGAGCTCCTTTTGTTTGTTCTCATAGTCAGCCAGAAGACTGTATAGCATTAGAACTCATCTGCCCATCTTCTCCAAATAGTTAAGGATATGTTCCCTTTTTTTTTCTCCCCATAATTTTTTCTATTCTTTTAAAATTCCTTTTCTTTAAAAGGACTTGACAGAGACGTTGGAGGGGGCTGCCAAACCTCCTCAATGGAGGAACATGCTACCTAATTGAGGTAGCTTAGACTTCTAGAGCTAAAAAAAATTGATACAGACAGACACAGGACTAGACATCTATATGAATTACATGTGAAAGTAAATTTTCTTTTGTTTGGACCATTAGTCAATTAAAATCTCCCTTGTTAATTGAACATGCAATAATCAAAGGTCAAAACGTGTGTTTGTGTGGGGGGAGGGGGTATACAAAAAATTGCATATTTTACTAAGCAATGCAAATGTTGAAAATTTCATAGGGGAAGTATTCAAATGATAGTTTGTTTTAAGATGTTTTTAATTTACTTAGGATTCTGATGATGATGATGATGTGGAAATAATAGAAGAATCATCCTATCATTTACCCCTCACACCAACAGAAAGCAGTGACATTGATGATGACGATGATAGTATGAAAGACTTTATAGTTGAGGATGAGGAAGAATGTGCAGAACATGCTGAGGATGAAAACCAACCACAAGGGAAAGAACTGGCTACATCAAAATTCCAGTTACTGGAATATTACGTTCCACGCTGTAAGGTTAAAATAAGCGACAAGTTGATATGAATACTTTGCTTGTAAACCCATGATTTGGTGTTTATTAGAACTTGTCTATATTAGCTTGAAATAGTATGAAAGTGCGTGATAGCTTGAAAGTAGAAAATTAAAATTCAAAAATGCTATAGCTTATTGTAGAGGCATTGTAGCTTCCATACACAATCATTTTATTCCTTTATCTTACTGTTTTATGGTGGGGGGAGGGGTTGGTAAGGTGCTGTACATGTATTTTTAGTTAGATGTGAGGTAAATTATTCAGCCCCTGACGTTAGTTATCAAATTCCCATTGAGACACGAAACTTCTTGCTTCTTGTGGTTACTAAAACTCTTGCTGCATTCTTCAGAACCAGCCATGTTAACCCTAATGTTCTGGCTGAATTCTGCTGTAGGTAATTGCTATTCTTGGGTAGCTACATGAAGTTCCTCCTGCAGTTTCTCTTGGATACAGTATCCTTTGCTTTCTGTCATTAACTATTCTGTGTTATTGCCATGTGCTGTTCAAGAGAATTTGTGTTACACCGCTGTCTCCAAGGTGTAATCAGCTAGTGGAAGGATATGTGTATATGGGGGGGGGGGGGTGTGTTTGTGTGTATATGTGTGTGTGTATATATATAGAGAGAGAGGGAGGCTTGTATGGTAAAGTTCTTTGATATTGTTTGGGATGAAAGGCACTGTTTAAATGAAAGATCTTATACAGAAACAGGACTTTGGAAGTTATATTGAACTGAAATTTTGAAAAATTACTTCTAAAAAATGTGTTTATAGTATTTGAGATTAGGTAGCTCTTTATCAAATTTTGCATGAAACTTGTATGGTCTGTATACGAATTTGTTCCTTGAGGCTTTTTTACATTAATTGCTTTATCTGGTTGCATTTTTTCCAGTCTCTCGCTGTGACCATTATGTCCACTTCCAAAGAGTTGTAAAAGCTTTCCTCATAAACACAATTGATGACACTTTTTTGATCTCATTGTATGGTAAGTAACATTACATGGCAGAAAATGTAATGCCTGTGGGGTAAAACATTATGGTATTTATGCATAAGGAAGTCATGTTTGGTAGTTGGTGTGGGTCTGGGCATTACAATTCCTGGGTTCTGTTCCCAGTTCTGCCACCGACGTGCTTGTGTGCCTTTAGGCAAATCACTTAACCTTTCTCTGCTTCAGTTTACTCCAACTGTGAAGTGCGGAGAATAATCTAAGGGTTTGGCTGTGTAGAGATTTAGGCTTTGTCTACACTATGCACCTTTTAGTGACCTAGTCGTGCTGCTAAAAGGCATGCAGTGTGGTTGCTGTTTGTTGGCGGGAGAGTGCTCCTGCTGACCAAGCGTTGTTCACACCAGCACTTTTTGTACACAAAACTTTTGTCTTTCGGGGGTGTGGGGTGTTTTTTTTTTTTGTTTTTTTTTTTAACCTCTGAACGACAAAGTTTTGTTCAGTTGTCAGTGTAGACAAAGCCTCTGGGTGGGATCCACGAGGGGACTTAGCCCTGGTCTACACTACAGAATTACTTGGGTATAACTACGTCACTTGGGGCATGAATAATCCATGTCCCCAAGCAACGTAGTTGTACTGACCTAAGCGCTGGTGTAGACAGTGCTGTGTCAGCAGGTGAGCTTCTCCTGCCAGCATAGCTACCACCTTGCACAGAGGTGGGTGAACTAAACCGACAGGAGAGCTCTCCCATTGGCTTAAAGTGTCTTAATTAAAGCATTACAGTGGCACAGCTGCATTGAAGTGTAGATCTGCCCATAGGTGCCATGATGCTCATGTTTACAATGCCTAACTTTTAGGGTCCCACACAAGACTTAAATGGACCAATATCTGTCTTTCCCCGTTTGTGAATTGCCCTTGCGCTTACGCTGGGAGATAGGTGTCTAGAAGCTTAGAGGGAGGTAGCAGTGTACATGCTCAGAGGGGGAAACATGGGCACCTAGGGAAAACATAGACACCGATTGAGTTTAGGTTCCTGCAGGATTTGGTGGAGTTTTGTGCATCACAGTGGAGCCAGGGTGTGAAAGTACGCAACAGGCTAATGCGCTGTACAAAGTCACTGTGTGAACAAACCCTAAAAAGAGTGCTGTAGTGCTTAATTCTTTAAGGTTTGGAAAGTATTTTGAAATCTGGATAAGTTCCTCTCTGTATCAGGGATTTGTCCTTTGATGCGGCTGATATGAGGCTTGATTAATAAAGAATTATATTAAATATGATTAATGCCACTCAACATGGATTTATGGGAAATAGTTCGTGCCAAACTAACTTGACATCTTTTTTGGATAAGATTACAAGTTTGGTTGGTCAGAGTAATACTGTTTGTAATATACTTCTGTAAGGTGTTTTGACTTGATACCTGAGTGCATGACATTTTGATTACAAAGCTAGAACAATATAAAATTAACATGGCACACATTAAATGGATTAAAAACTGCTTCAAAATGTAATTATAAATAGGGAATCATCATCGAGTACATGTACTGTAGGGTCCCGTAGAGGTTAGTTCTTGGCCTTGTGCTATTTAAGATTTGTATCAATGATCTGGAAGAAAACACAAAATCACTGATCCAGTTTGCGGTTGGTGGAGGAGTGGTAAATAACAGAGGACAGATCACTGATACAGAGCAATCTGGATCGCTCGGTAAGCTAGGTGCAAGCAAACAATATGGACTTTAATATGGCTAAATGTGAGTCTCTTTAGTTTAACAAAGAAAAAGTTAAGGGTAACTTGACTACGATCTGCCTGAGGAACACATTTAATAATTGGCTCTTCAATTTAGTAGAGAAAGGTATAACATGATCAAATGAAGACTGGAATTAAGATGCAAATTTTTAACTGAGAGTAATTAACCATTGGAACAGTTTACATCACTGGCCACTTTTAAATCAAAATGGGATGTTTTTGTAAAAGATATGCTCAGGGAATTACTTTGGGGAAGGTCTGTGGTCTGTGCTATACAGTAGGTCAAACTGGATGATCACAGTGGTCCCTTTTGGCCTTGGAATCTATGAATCTTTGAATTACTCTATATTTGTCACGTGCAATATCTTCCAAAGAGGACTTATAAGTAAATCTATTAATTAGTTTGAGTTAAAAATATTTTTTAAATGACCCATTTTAGCACAGTGTGTCACTTTGTCCTGAACTAACAGGCACTATTTCTTCAAACTTTCCACATAGTTAAAAATTACTGAAATTTTGCACATATGCTATGTTTGAGGAAATTAGTTGTAATTAAGATAATTAGGTATAACAATCAGTAAAGATATGATTATATAGACCAGTGGTATCCAACTTTAATTTGTTCTGTGATGTTATCATTGAGCAAGAGAATTGGATGGGGGGGAAACCTATGTGTTTTAAAAATCCATTGTAATTTAATCTGTGACCACAGATAGAATAATGATTAGTGCATTTTAGTATGATATCGCTAAGAATGGAAAGTTGAGATTGTTTATATGCTTAATGTATTTGAACTTCTTTATGTAATATTTTGATTTCCTTGGTTTGTAATAAATGTTTTGGGTTTAATTACAATACTGTAATGTTACTATCATGTACTCCCAACCCTAACTCCCTCTTCACATAGCTTTTTGTCTAGGAATTAACTTAAAGGATCTGTATAAATATAGTTCATTAAGCAATTACATTACAAACGTTGTAGGGAAAAGGACAGGAGCATCTGTTTTTTCAGACTTTTGATAAGTGTGAGTGGTTATATTTTGAGATTAACTGTTCTCAGATTGTGATCTTTGATTCAGCAGTTATTCATATTTTGAGTTTTTATTTCTATTCTACTTTTTATTATTGTGCAGCACCTGCTGTGGACAGGTGTCTTTATGAATATACCAAAGTTAATTTTAATGATTTGTGTAGCTTTCATGTACAACAGATTTTATTGTAAATATCCCTAATAATCATTGAGGTTACTGTTCTTCAATCAGTAAATAATTATATGGATGCTTTTCAGTGTGTAGACTCATCTCCCTGAAGATTTTGTGGCTGGAAGAAACACATACATTCACTGAACATCATATATTGTATTATAGTGACTCTTTCTTTGAACAGATGGAACAAGGCAAAAGAGATACGCACAAGAAATTCTAACCTCACTCCATTATTTGGATGATCGCTTTATTCAACCTCGTCTTGAAAACTTAATCTCTAGAAGTCGCTGGAAAGAACGATATAAGGTATAGCTTCTGTCTTGGTCAATAAAGTGGCTCCAGGTGTCAAAAAAAATGTTCATACACTCTACTCCTAACTGAAAATACAAATCCTAATAACTATTTGTCTTTCCATATTTTGGGGCATGATCTTGCCCCTTAGTATTCAGGCATTACTGTACACTTTAAACTGCTGTGATTCTCGCACGTGTGTCCAGTAGCTAGTTGCACAAACTGCATGATAATACACATCTGAATGTTGAGGGGTAGTGTGTAAATAAATCATGGCTACTTCCCTGTATTTCTAGCTAGATTCTGCCCTGAAAAATGTATTAACACTTGTCTCACTGACTTTGGTAGATGCCCCACACATGCACTTCAAAGAGCATCCTTTGACAGTTGGTTGTACTGTCACAATAAATTTTTGTAGATTTCTTTTAAAGAAACACACCAGTACAAAAATATATCTTCCAAGAAATTCAAAATATAGTTCATACAACTTGGAATATGAAATCAGTGTGAAATAATTCAGTCTCATGCATGTGAATGAGGAGAATAATCGAAATAAGATCAAATAAAATGAAATAAATGGAAATATGAATGAGGTTGATTAGTGCCGCAAAGACAACTGGAGATGAGAGTACTCAGCAGCTCACGTAGTCAAGAGTTTTTGCCTTGGTTTAGGGGATATCCTGTTAAAGAGTTTTGTGTAATATATCTTTGTAGGAGCGAGTGGATTGTTACCCTGACGTCCGCATAGTAATGAAGACTCCAATAAATAGATCCTGTCAAGCTTGTGAACTGCATCGGTACTGTAAATTTGACGTGGTGTTGTCCGGAAAGCTGTACAACTATAGAACTTTGGAAACAGATGACTTTATGTTGCATGACAAACAGGTAATTTTTTTAAGTTCTTCTGTGTTCTTGGTTGGTGCTTTGTACGTTTCAGATGGTGAAACACTGAGATGATCCCATCATCATAACTAATCCCCCAGGGTGGTGTGCATGGGGTTGGTTTTGTTTTTTTTAAGTTGCCCTGAATTCAGATGTCTGAATCTTTATTCACCATCAGTCTTCACGTTACTGGAGCTACAACCTTGGAAGAACCTTGGGTAGAGGGAAGCAAGTAATTATTGATTAACCAGTGCCTGGTGAAAATACTATACATTTCCACCATAAAATGGAAAATTAATATTAAATTTCATGCATGATCTCAGGTTTATCTATACCTTCTTCTATGAAGTCTACTCCAAAAATACTGTTCTACAGAAAATCAATATTTCTTTTAGAAGCATAGTTAGTAATTGCTCTTAGATTACCTAAATCTGATTTTATAGGGAACTTCTTGAATTTTATTAATCCATACCTTTCACAGTTTCTTGAACAAATTTTCAACACTATTTTAGCATTATTTGTAAATTCCAAAACTTGATGCTTTTCATCTAAAATTCATATTTGAAATCACTTATCCTAAAGCTCTAGACACTTGCATAGATATTTAAAAATAAAGAAATTAATCCCGTTCAGCTAGTTAACCTATCCAGACTTACTCCAATCCACAAAATTTAAATCAAATAACCAGTTAGACCATAACTTGCAGCTCACTGAAAACCTGGACAGGACAGCACTAAATCCTAATGACCTATGAGGACAAAGTCAGTGTAGTGTGTGTTACGATCCAATCGTAAATCTTGTATTGCTGCCTTAGGGAAGCACATGGGTCTCCAAGGGCAGATATCAAAACCCCCACCTAAACTCAAGGAGGTAATGAATTATCCAGGACAAGGATGTAATCTCCACTCCTTGTTTAAGATCAGAAAAATGTCAGTAAAAAGTGAAATGGTTCCAGGGTTAACTGCACTTCTGCCCCCTTTGTCATCTGCTCAAGGGTGCCTCTTTATGTCTTGGGACTCCAGCCATCACTCCTCAGTGGGTGATACCCCTTTAGGTCTGGGCCTCAAAACCAGGGATTTAGGCTTTCAGTCCTCCTGCAGTTCACTGTGATTGTCCCAGCACATCTGAGCTGAATCCAGTTCACGCTCTCAATGACCAGCCAGCTATCACAGACACAGTGTGCTTATTTTTAGGACAAAAGCATTACAGAGTTATCATACCAAAAAAATAAACAGTCTATATGCATAATAAGCTTACAAGGTGTTACCTATCTTCCACATGGAAACCCTAGTAAGTTTCCAGTGCTTCAAACCCATTCAGCAGGGTTTTCCCCCCTTGGTTACAATTACATGTCAGTTTGAGGGATACTCAGCCAGTTCAGGCTGACCCTTTGTATCCAAACTCTGTCTCCTGGGCCTGTTGAGCCAAGTCTTAGTCAATATATGCAATTCATTTGTTCTTCTCTGGAGTTGTTTACCTATCATGGGATGTTTAATAATCACCTGCTACTGACTTTAGTTCCTGGATGAAGCTCGGTAACCCTCCCCCCTATAGCTAGAATACAATCCCTAGCTCACAAAGATACGGAGACAAAACTTGGACTAATCCTTGGACCCACAGCATATGGCACATCTCAGTAGAATAATCTTTTGAAGTTTCCACACTTCCCAGGTCTTGCATGCGTTACCAAACAGAATCTTCTTTGTTGGGGCACCTCTTGGATGGCCTGTTATCCCACTTAAGAGCACAGGCCATTTTAAAACTTGGAACAGAGATACAATGTCATACTGAATTTATAGAGTTACTTTCATTACAGTTCATCTTTTCAGTTTGGGTTGGACTATTCAATATCAAAAAACTGGAGCTTAGTTTTTCTTTTTTTTTAACACGTAACCATCATAGTGTACCCTGACCTGCAAAAATGCATCTTTTGGGGGAATGAGGACAAAGTACAGTCTATTCAGAAGCCACGAAACAAACCAGGGAATGTTACATTACCCTAGATTTGCCCCATTTTTCTATTGTAAACAGCAGTGGCTCCTTGGAAGCTGCCCACACTACCTCCTTACTCCTATGGTGATCCATAATCCAGCCAGTATTGGGTGCTGCTCACTAGTACAGTGCTCGAGGTTTATCTGCAGCCTGTTGACCCAAATGTCCCGTCTTTGCTCTCGTGGCACTTAACTCAACTGCAAGAGGACAGTGTAATGCTAAACTGGCACTTCAGGAAAATAACTGAGTGAAGGAAAAGTCAGTGCAGCCTCAGTGGATCAGAATGAATGGTATTATGTAATTTGGGCTTTTTAAAAACTATAGAAAAGCACCAGAGAGAGAGGATGAAAACTTCACTTTGGCCCTTTCTTCTGCACCTCAGCACACCTCCTTTTAGTTGTAACAAGTACAGGGGTTTTTTTTCCCTCTGATCTCTGGATTTTTTTCTCTTCATACCTACTGGGTGTGGTTGCTATTTTACTTAGGTTTCCAGTGACTGTTTTTGTGCATAGCCTTTTTCTTTCCTATCCTCTCCTTGGTTAGGCCAAGATGTCGCATGTAGTTCAGCATTATAGATGTGAGTCCTTTGCTTTGCTGCCATGTGCCCTATTATCTGGACCATGTCTTCTGCTTGCCAACGTGGTAGTAACATTGTTTATATTAAGAGTAAACATAACAGTTGTGGTGTGCCTTTTTCTCATTCTTCTCTTTTGTGGTCAAGTCACTCTGTGCATTCCACATCAGCAGGCATAACAAGTTTGGCTAGTAGAGCCACCTAACACAGACAAATGAAGCATTAGGAAAAAGTCAGTGGGATATCGGAAATTAACATTAGAATGAATGCAATATATAGACTTTTTCCAAGGCTGAGTTCTAAAGAAGATTTTGGTAACTTTAACAAAATCTTTCTTGCTTAAAAAAAGTGAAATGTTTTCAGATATAAAGTGTAGACCAGGGGTAGGCAACCTGTGGCACGCATGCCAAAGGCGGCATGCGAGCTGATTTTCAGTGGCACTCACACTGCCAGGGTCCCGGCCACCGGTCCCGGGGGCTCTGCTGCCGGCCTGGGGTACCGGCCGCCGACCCCACTTAGCCCATTGCTAGTGCTGGGTCCTGGCCACCGGTCCAGGGGGCTCTGCTGCCGGCCTGGGGTCCTGGCCACTGGCCCGGGAATCTGCAGCCGACCTCAGCTGTGGTCCACTGGCCCCAGCCTGGGGTAGTGAGGGGTGCAGACAGGGGCAAGAGGGGGCACAGCTCAGCACCCCCACCTTAAAAATTGTTCCAGCACCACTGTACTGGAATATTTTTAAGTCCTGATTTGCTGCTTACATCACTATCACGCCACGTGGAACAGCGCATTGCATTTGACGTTGAGATCAGAATGTACATGCAAGAACTGGAATCAGAATTTTCTGACAGATTTCAAGATTTCCAGCGATTTGGTCCTATGCTTTCTTTTCTAATTAAACCTGAAAAGTTCAACAAAAGCTACTGGGATTTGTCTGTATTTCAGTGGATGGGTGTTGAAGATTTCAAAATGTAGCTCATTCAGTTAAAAAGCTCAGAATTGTGGGCATCAAAGTTTGGAGCTCTGCAGAGTTCACTTGAAGCTACCGAGAGAGATCATGGGGCCTCTATTCTGATCTGCTGGATGTCCCTGCTAGTGAAATTTAACTGTTTGAAGAAAATTGCGTTTGCAATGCTTTCAGCATTTGTATCCACATACCTGTGTGAAGAGGTATTTTCACACATGAAATCTGTCATATGTCCCTCTCAGAGCCGGTTAACAACTAATCACTCAGAAGCCTGTGTGCATCTTAAAATATCCAAAGACATGCCAGACATTGGAAAACTCAGCAAGGAAAAGCAAGGGCAAGGATCACACTACACTGATAAGATCTGCATTTTAATTTTAAATGAAGCTTCTGAAACATTTTAAAAACCTTATTTACTTTACGTACAACAATAGTTTAGTTATATATTATCGACTTCTAGAAAGAGACCTTCTAAAAACGTTAAAATTTATTACTGGCACACAAAACCTTAAATTAGAGTGAATAAATGAAGAGTTGGCACACCACTTCTGAAAGGTTGCTGATCCCTGGTGTAGACTGTAATATTAAAATTGTACCATATTGGGAAAACTTCAAGGTAAAATGAAAAAATTAAAGGATTTTGAATTAGTTAATACAAAAATAATATGCTGAATTCAGCAAGGTGGATAGAGAATACAGGGACATTCAATACACATTCTCAACTGCCCCTAAATATCCATAATCCAGCTCTTGATTGTTGGGCATTCTGGGATGGTACAGCAAGTGAAGATGGATTACCCAGGTTTCCAGTGATTTTTACAGCATTCTTTGAGGCATAAAGGTTGAAGCCATCAAATGCAACACTTATAGCTGTGCATCACAGAGGCTTCCCAGATATAAAATAGTGATGAGTGTGGAATACAAGGGTTCAAGTTCCAACAGTGCTGCTAACTTAGTCTCCATACATGCCCTGCACAATTTGTGGTTATGTTTAAAACCAGTATTTTGTCAAACTGTTCTATGGGCTTTAGCAAGAGGAAGAAGTTAACATGCATGTATGGATTTGGTGCATCTCTGGCGATTTTTTTCATTTCCTGAATGTCCAAAATGGTTGTGCATTCTTAGTGTGACTCTGATATAGCTTTTGATTTTTAGGCTTTTGAGCTTTTATTCTTAATAAATCCAGACTTTATTTCATACAATTTAATATGAATGTTGAAATGGCTACATCTTATGACTCCAGCAGGTAGTAAGTATAAACCAGAAAGGATTTAATCAGTTTTCCTCCAAACATCAGTGTAAGCATTGCAGGGGATTTTGTAACAGAGTTGCTCAGGTGGATTCACTGGCAGCATTTCACTTTTCCTGCACAGCTGTGAATAGTGGTTCTTGAGGAACAGGGGCAGATGGAACTGCAGTTGCACTGAATCACCAGTCATTGCCCCTGTAGGGTTGGGGTGCAAAGAATGTGGGGGGCTACATTGCTTATAAAATAGTCAATCATATAGTATCAAAGGCTGTTTAGTTCATTATTTCAAAATACTAAACTGATTTAGCCATGCATTGTATTGTCGAGATCATTGCTTCACGTTAATTTATCTTAGATAACCAAGTTTGTTCACTTTTATATAGGTTTTGAAGGTTGGCAGCGTGTGTGCAAATCGTACAAGGGTTTATCATAATCTGAAACATTTTAAATACAAGTTGTATCAGCGCTGCTGCTCGGTTACAGGGGTGGAGGGCATTCAGGATGAGCCAGTCAAAGACACAGTCGACAGGCTTTTCAGCCAATTGGAAGAGAATGGCTGGATTCAGGAGGTATGATGGAATCTGTCATTGAGTTAATTCCTTTGTATCAAAGGGGGTGGTGACAGCAATGCTAAATAAAATGTTTGTGCTTTAACTAAGCAATAAGTTGTAAGAAGTAGTGCGTTTGTGATTGACTGTAGTTCATTCAAGATGGTAAAAAGTAGACATCAGCCATGCAAGACTTGTAATAACTTCCCATAAAGTGCAGTTCTGTTCTGAAAAGTGACTCAAAAATAGTACCTACTTACAGAACAAAGCTGCTCCCTGCAAATAATCAGTCTTATTTTAGTCACAAAAGTAAGTGAGTACCTTACTGATTTTTTTTTTTTTTTTTTTTACTCTTTTTAGCAGTGCTGGACAGGTAAGATGAGGGAGCTGGATTCTATTCCACAGCACCAGCAAAATAATTTATTTGGTTCCAATTATAGTTAAAGATTCTGAGTTTGCACAGGTTTATTTCAAAGCATGATATGAAGGAAACAGCGTTACACAAGTGTAACTGAGAATGTTAAAAGTTCTACAGGCCAAATTCCAGTGACAATATGTGAGTTTGACTATTGGGGAAAGGCCCAGTAACTTGACCGAAAGGAGGGAAATCCTTAAACTAAAGGGGGGGGAGTGTAAATCAAAGGAGGGATTTGCTTGGGCCATTTAAAATACTTCCAGCTTATATACTAGTCTGATAGACTTTCATCCGCTGGATTTCAGATTCAAACTTCCAAGCAAATTCTTCTTTGGCCATTTTATTCTCCTCCATTTAAAAATGTGACTTTCAGGCCACCTCTCTCTTGGAATGGACCCATTTTTGCTTGTCTGTAAATGGACACCTTCCAATAGAAATAGGGCCCTTTTTAAAATGAGTTTTTAAAGCATGAATATTTTTGGCAAAATGAGCCCATATTAATGTCCTAACAAAATGCATAATGTAACATTATTAATAACAAAATAATAAATACAAGAATAAAAATATATTAATATGTATGTGCTGCTGCAGTAGTCGGTCCATGTGCTACATGTTACAATACTGGGGTCTTAGTTAAAAGTGTAAAAAATAAAAAGGTTGAGTAAGTGGTGCAACTACACCTAGATGGTGAGATGTATTTCATGGGTAAGCCTCCAGTGTTTCTGTATCAGGATCAGTCTTTCTTAATTATTTTGATTTCTTAAAACTTCATGAAACACTATAGGACAAATTACCTGAGTAGAGCCAGGCTTACCAAATAGGCTTTGGTTCTCTCTGCTTCTGAATCAGTGCTGCTGCTTTTGTTTATGCATTAAGCTTGGCACAACAAGCAATGTATTTACTTCATTCAGTTGCTGTATTTGATGAATTGACATAGTTTTTATTTTATATGCAGAGATATGATCATCTGGAAGAATATATGAATGATGCAGATTACTTCCAAGAAGAGAAAATGGACTGAGTGGTCATGCATCTCTTTGAAAGAAGCTTTATAAAAATCTCTAACTATGATATCCACCTGTCCACAAAAAAATCTCCAAATGCTTTTCAGGATGTTTTCTTACGCTGCATTGTATTTAAGTCTGTAGCTGTGCCTGTAAATTGCCATATATATGAAAAGAAAAACAGCATATTCTTTTATACCCCTTAATTTTAAATGTAAAAATAGTGATTTAAAGATGTTTTATGAAGTAAACAGCCTTCTGTTATGCATAGGTCACTTGAACTTTCCTTTGTGGTTAAAAAGACTAGCATCCAAGTCCCTATGTATTCATGAAATAATACTTCTGTGTATTGATGACCAGCTCCATGGCAGAGTACTTGAGAGATGGTAAGCCCCAATTAACCCTTTTTGGGGTAGGAATACTTTAATAGACAGTATAAATTTTGTCCCATCACATCCCTGTAAACTTGAAATATGAGCAGTAACCAGTTAGCATGCTAATAGTGAGGCTGAAACATAACTAGACACATTCATTGTTAATCCAGTGTCAAAACCACCTTCACTTCCCATCTCTGGAGACCTAGAATACTGCAATTTGCATCTAGCTATAGCGGCTGATGTGAAAGTGGCTATATGTAGTATAGACGGCACAATAGCTACTACCATGTACAGAAAGATAGGTGGATAATTCCTGTAAAACTAACTAATAACAAGTAATCGCCTGGCTAACAGGTGGGAAGGTGTGCAAAACCTTGTTTGTATTAGGTCTACTAACGTGTGTGGTAGGGTGTAGTTCCTCTCTGGGACATGTAAAACCCTAACCTAACTTTCTTCTGGCTCTTCAGAGATATAAGAAGAGTTAAGTGATGTGGTGCACATTAACCCCTTGGCCCACTTGCTGCACATAAAAGAAAGCAGGCAGTGGCAGTGCAAAGAGACTAGTGACTAGAGGAAAGGTAAATGCTACTCTTTTTTGATTGAGTTGTGGAAGAGGATAACTACTTCAAACTGTTCTTACCTCCTGGGAAAGTAAAAGACATTTTTTGTTGTTGAGCCATTTGTTTATACCCTATGCAGGAACGGATACTCAAGTGAATGTTGTTCTTGGGGTGTAGTCTGATCATACCTATGAAGAGAACCTACACTCTAACGGTGCTATATATTCGGTATTCTAATACTGCTGTAGTCATACATGCTTGTCACCCTGGGAATGGTGGTTTTATGGCTGAGCATGTTGCAAGGATGGTCTGAGGTTAAAATTATTTTTTGTAACTCAACACTGTAAAATTAATCCATATTTAAGTACGTGATCTACTCACAGGCAGTATCCCAGCATTGATACATTTCAATACATAGGTCCCAGTATGTCTTCATGCCACTAACTGCGTATTGTCAGAATAAAATATGTATGCCAAATATGTCGCTGCAGTAATCACCCTCCAGAATACCTCTGGTAGATACCCAATTGCCCTGCTTTCCCATGCTAGCACTTGTATATGATCCCATAAGGCGTTTGGCAAATGTATGAGTTAACTATGCTTTCTGCAGTGATGACTTGCTTCCCTCCCCCCTTTTTTTCATTGCTGTTTGGGGCCTGATGCAAAGCCTGTCAGAGTCAAGGGACAGACACCTATATTCTTCAGTGGATTTTGGATCAGGCTCTTGAGGAAAATCCTACTAGACTTGGCCCTGATCACATCACTTTTTAGGAAGACCAGGCCTCTTGTACAGGGCACCAGAAGAAGAACAAGCTGTGTGCCATGTTACACACAACCTTGTCAAATGCACACCATGCACCAGTTATGATTGTGCCCTAGGTTTTCATAGTTAACACTTTGAGGGTGAAATTATTACAGTACCACTTTGTTACATACTACTTTTCCTTCCGTGCAACTTTTTTTTTTGTTGACATTTCTAATAGGCTTCATCTTTGCAGATGAATACAGTTCTGCTACAAGACGTCTGTATGTTTAACCTCCTTTGCAAAAGTGGGCAGCAATAACTGATTTTTCCACCGCATATTTTGTTAGCAGTCAAGAGGTTTTCTTATCTCTCTAACATTTACCATGCTTAAGTTTACACTGCTCATGTGTAAAAGCCTTGAGCACATCATTGTTAAGAAGAACAACTGTGGAAAGCGGCTTTGAAACAGATGTAGTTTTGTACTGCGTAATGGAAGATATCTCCTGCCACCTATTCAGTTAAACTACACTGACAAAATAGGGGATGCATTTTAATAAAAATGAATGTGCTTTGTACCTTTTTCACAATTTTTCTTATTCATACAAGAAAGAATTATTAATAACCAGTATTTAACGTAGAGTAAGTGAAGATTCCTCTTTTAGGTATGTGCCTGCTCCTGTGTTGGCTAGAAACCATATACTACGTTTAATGTCTACTTTGTACTGTTTTTTAACATACTTCATATTTTTCCCATCCAATATAAAAAGGGGTTAATTTAAAAAAATAGTTTCTTTGGTCCACAATAGAAAAAATATTCACCTCACTGTAGAGGAAGTATAGGAACAAATTGATTATCATTCTGGCAAGAAACCCACCACAGCAAGGAAAGGCCGAAAATGTACCTGCACCGGGGAACCTGCTGCAAGCTGACAGATCAGGAGGCAAAACTGAGACATCTGAGTGTAATTACACTTTTTACTGGCTTGTGTGGATTGCACTAGCTTAGGCACATCCCCGTTTACTGACTTGCACAGTCCAGCTCTTGTGCATCACTTCTGAATTTGGCCCTTTCAGTCTTCCCCCATATGAGCAAAACAAGGAGCAGGACAAGGCATTTGGGTGAGGGCAGATCAGTAGCTGCAGTGACATTAGCCATTACTTGTTACATGTGCACAGAGTAGTGGCACGTACTTCGCATCAGAAAACTGTTTAAGCAGTAGTGGGGGATTGAGAGGGATTTCCCCAATTTCCAAAAAGCCTGGCCTTAATTCCTAGGACTTAGACCAGGATATCCTTGTCAAAGGTAAGACAATGCAATTAAGGCTGTGGATGGGTTTGTCCGGTAATGTGGTATCTGGAAAGGAAGAAGCTGGTGGGAATTGTGGCCAAAGAGATATTTCAGAACCCTACATGCATTTGCTCCAAAGGGTTACATGGGGACTAGTAGTGCAGCACTGCCATATAGAATAAACAGCTCCTTCCCAGCTCTGCCTCTGTGACCGGCTAGAATTCCCAGCGAGCCCCAAACACATTTGTTTGAAGTGGGTGAGATGTATGCTGCTTAGCAGCCTTTCCCGACTAGCCCCATGTCCCATTATTACATGTTACCTTTTGCAGAGTGGAGAGAAACTTAATGATACCTCTTAAAATACAGTAATGGGGAATCTTGATTCCATTACAACATTATTCCATCAAATAAAATTCTAGATTTCTGATTTAGTATACTTAAACGGATCACTACAAAATTCAAGACTACGTTAACGAAACGGTACGGGATATAAGTGAATAGAAGACAACAAAATTTAAACATGCTCGGTAAAGTAATATTAATTTGCATATATGGAGGATATATTTTTTTAAATCCTATTCTATTAACCATCTGAGTATGCAGTGTGTGCAATGTGGGAGAGTTAATGTTAATAAGAGAAGCATGGGATGATTTAACTGGGATTTGGTCCTGCTTCGAGCAGGGGGTTGGACTAGATGACCTTCTGGGGTCCCTTCCAACCCTTATATTCTATGATTCTATGATTCTAAGCTTAACTTCATTTCTTAAAATTTTTGCATTTAAATTTGTGACGTAAATTATCCGTTAATATTGCTTTTTACATTTAATTTTCTTGTTATTTAAGAAAATAAAGTAAACAGTGTCTGTACTTAATTGTTATGGCAGGAGCCACCAGATAGGGCTGTCACTTACAAGTTCTTTTCTTAATATGAGAGCACCTTTGAGTCTTTAAAGAAGTTCTGTGTTAGTTTTGTGATGCAAATTATTTTGTGAGGAGTTTCCGCAAGCAGAACAGCATGTGCTCTCTGCCTCAGTCTCTCTAACTGGAGTCAGTTCTTGGGGCAGAATAGCTTCTTGGGAACTGGGCATTAGTGTTTATGCTGAAAGTTGTGAAAGAGGGGATTGCGTAGGTGCTCTTTTTGACCACCTCCTTTCAAAGACTGGTGTATATACTGTCGGTAAATTCCTAGATTTTTAAGGCCAGAATGGATAATGAGCATCCAGTGTGAGAAAGTAAATTTCTAGCATATCAGAAGACAATTACATGTATTCCCATTTCTAACTTAGCTAGTATATTTTTATTTGAATAAATAAAGTCCTACAGCTCTAACCTTCTTTTAGTCATTCTGGATAAACAGTGTGGGTGTGTTAGATAAATACATGTAAATATGGTAAATATGTTGCACACATCAAACACCTATAAATTTGAATTACTGATTATATTTTGTTGATTTTTTTTAAAAAATGAGAAATGTACATTTATAAATTGGGTACAGAGGTCAGAACTAAAGAGCTTAAGAAAATACATGACGTAGCAAACTGTTAGAACGATCGTGTTTTCTTTTTACTCCTCTTAAATAGCATTGCAGACAACTGATAGGATACCATACCTTGTTGTTCATTTCCATTAACCTGGATGTTTATATATATATATATATATAGTTTTACTCTGGGCAATAAATGAATGTGATCTAAAATTAAAAATTTGACGTTTGTGAAAGAATATGTACACAAAGCTAACTTTTAAGGACTCTCCTGGGTTTTTATTAGTTTTTTGTGTCTCAAAAATGAGTTTTATGTTGAAGAGGTCTATTTTGCAATGTATGCATAGCAACACCTGAGCCTTGTCCATAATAAACAAGGGTATTGTAGTTGTCCACAAGAAAAAATGGATACAGGATGAACATAGCACTCCTTGAACTTGTTAAGTTAAACAATCCCACAAAGGCTACAGAATGTGTTCAAACAGTATCTTTAGATGGGAAAACTAAATGAGAGTCAAAAAGTTTACAAACTGCAGTCATTTTAACTAGAGACAAGAAGCATCACTGAAAAACTAATTGCTGAAATGGCTCAAAATTAAAGGCCCCAATTCAGTAAAGCACTTTAGCAGATGGTTAACTAATATTCTTCAGTCTCATTGCAGTCAATGCAACTCTTAAGCAATTTAGATTTTTCAAAAATGTTTGCTCTAGGCATATGTATGCTATCTTTTTTAAATATATCAAATAAATAGCAATAAATTCTTCCAGGTTCATTCAACCATTCAGCACTAAACAAAAATCCACTCTCCACTTTAGCCACACTTCCCTCTTCTTAACTCAGCTCCTTCAGATGCCTGGGACACCAGACAGGGCTTGCAGCATGCCTTAAAATCAAAGAACTGGGTTCTGTTGAATCAAAAAGAACAGAGCAGTGAGGTTTGGCCCTGCATGTTGACTGAGCTGTTCTGCAGTTCTCACTCAGGCACAACAACCACTGAGACCCCCCATGAGTGGTTATTTGAATGTGCAGTTTCTTGGCTGATCTCATGTGTCCAGGATCACAGTGAAATAAGCATGGTTGGATTTACCTGCATATATAGACAGCATGTATGTTTTAGGCGATTTTTAAAATCCTTTTGCTTCGTTATTTCTAACTTTAAGTAAAAAGGATTTTTGTGTGTGTGGAAAGTGATAAGCACCTGAAAACGAAGGCTCATGAATGAGAGTGCATTTTCACCTTTAATCAAGCATCTCTAGTGTGTCACTATAACACATCCACATTATTACTACTGGTATTCCAGTAGTACCAAATGAGAATGGGGCGCCCCATTGTGCTATATAATCACAATCATGAGAAGCAGTCCCTGCCCCAAAGATTTTATAGCCTAAATGGAGAAGGCAGACAAAAGAAGTATTATTGTGTTCATTTTACAGAGGGGGACTGAAACACAGAGATTAGAGCCCAGATCATTAAAGATATTTAGGTGCCTAACTCCTATTTATTTGAATGGGAGTTAGGCATGTAAAGACCTGGGCCTACATCAGTTGCCCAAGTACACACAGGAAGTCTGGGTCAGAGCTGGGAATTGAACCCAACGCTCCTGAATCCCAGCCTAGACCACAAAGACCCTTGGTCTGCTCCGATATGTATACAGGGCATTGCACAAGAATGGCTACTTTTGTTTTTCCACTTGTACTGCGGCGAAATCCAACTGCTAAGAGAGTTCATAGCTGTGATTTATCTGTGAAACTTCTAGTAATTGCACAAAGGGCTTGATGCTGGGGCAGGAGGGTAAGCAGCCTGCCCTAATATAATGAGTGGATGATTAGGCAACACAAAGATATATATACAGAAGGAGGGAAATTTATTCCCTACGAATAAGGGAAGTTATTGGACATTCAGAGCCAGGGAAGAGGTAGCATATAAACCTGGGGACGGCAAAGGGGATTTCCTTGGCTTGCATCCATACAAATAAATCACTGGGATCATAGTTCATAATTGGCTTCTCTCTTCATTCACCTCCTTTGCCGCTTGGAGGCTTCGTGTTTCTCTTTTGCCTCTTCTCCGTGCCCATTACTCTTTCCTGCAGTGACACCGGCCTTCCACTAGGGCTTCCCCAGACGCTTTCTCCTCCGCCGCCGCTCTGCTTTATCCGAGCACAATGAAAGCCTGTGTGTACCCGTAACCCCCGTGCAGTGAGTCAGTATCAGCAAAGCAGCTAACAACAGACAAGAAAGAGAAAGGGATGTTGCAAGGTACTTTTCACTTCTCAAGCGGGGGAATCCGGCAGAGGCATCGCTGATAACTGCACCACAGACACCTAGCCCCGCTGTTTGGGGGATGGAATATACAAACCCACAAAGGAAAAGCAGTGGACTACTCCCGGTGCGAAATGCTGGAAGTTCGTAAGTTTCACTATCATTTGTAATTGCTCTGAAGCGCGATATGTCTCTGTGTGTGTGTTTTCTCGTGCTTTTCTTGATATTGTACTTGCAACCGAAATATCGGGGGGAGTGAGAAGTGGCGTATAAGGGAAAATATGCTAAAGGTGATGTTTGCCTACGTTCTTAGCTTGCTTTTATTGCTGGGGGAGGGGGTCCGGGGTGGATATAAACACTTAATACGGATTTCACAGAGTGGCTGGATTAATAGAAAGCAAAGCATGGTCTGAAAGTCCAGTTACGGACATTGTTACCAACTGGGGATCCATCTCTTTTCTTTTTAGCGGAGCTACATTAGCAGCAGACAGCTGGAGACAGTAATAAGACAAGAAGACTGGAGAGCAAAGAGAGAGAGAGAGAGACGAG